CGATCCTTCCGCCTCGGCCTTCCGCGTAGCTGGAACTCCAGGCGCACGCCACCACACCCGGCTCATTTTGGATTTATTGCAGAGACGAGGTCTCGCCAAGTCGCCCAGGCTGGGCTCAAACCCCTGGCCTCAGGCGATCCTCTCGCCTCAGCCTCCCAGGGTGCTGGGATGCCAGGCTGGAGCCACCGCACTGGCCTCCTCTGCCCACTTGTGACCCAGTCAGCCCACCCCAGCCACACGGCTCGGCCAAGGGCGGGAGACTCAGCCCTGCCCCGGGAGCCACAAGTGCCCCTGAACGAGGCCAGTGGTCCTGGCCGGGGGCCTCATTTCCGGGCGGGGGGGAACGTGGGAGCAAAGAACAGCACCAGGCTGGGCCCGAAGTGGGGGTGCAGGGTCCCTCGCCCCGGGAGCTGCCACAGCCTCACTGCCAGCAGCAGGAAGTGTGGCCTCTCCCAGGGTGCGTCCGTGAGCAGAGGTGGCCCAGGAACCTGTCAGCGTTCCTAGGTCCTCAGCACAGGCTCAGCGGCCAGGCATGTGGGGTGACGCACAGGACACCTCCCTGGAGAGTGTGGTTTATTGTTTTGCTGTTCTGACCCACCTAGACACATTAAGGGTAGAAAACAGAATTCCCGTGATGTCCAAAATAAAACATGAACTCGAAAGAAACGTGGGACTGCTTCAAAGCAGGGGAGACCCAGGAGGCTTCCTGGAGGGGGTGGCCTTTGTGTGGACCTCGGAGGATCAGGAGGATCTGGCCACGCAGATGTGGGTGGGAAAAGACCCCACCAGAAACTCCAGCCAATTCCTCACGGTGTCACCAAGTATCGGGTGCACACAGGGTGCTGCACACAGGGCATCTGTCACGCCCGTCTCGTGGTGGGCAGGGCACCTGGGTGCCAGGGGGCTGGGATTTCAGGCCGGTGTCACAGCCGGATGGCGACAGACCCGGAGCTCAGGCGGGGGCTCTCCACGCCCCTTTCCTCCTGGCCGTGCCCTGTGAGGGGAAGCGTCCTGGCCGGCAGATGGCTACCCTGGGAACGGGTGCAGAGCGCCGCACGGGGGTCTGGCCCAGGCCGCGTGGGAACGAGGCTCCGGGAGGCCACGCGGCCGCAGGATGGCTGGGGGGCGCCGTGTGCATTGGCGCAAGGCCCTGTGGCGTCCAGCTTCTCCCAGGTCCCCTCCTTGCCCAGCACGCCCCAGGCCGGGATCGGCCCCTCCTCGTCTCTCTGGAATTGCAGAGGCCTGAGGAGCGGCTGCTCAGGGCGATGACGGTGCCCACCCCTGGGCAGTCACGTGCCGTCGCCAGCAAAAACCCGTGGACCCTGAAACTCTGTGCGGTGTTTTCTCAGGGGGTCCCGGGGGAGGGGACCCGTCCCGAGATTCCCTGGAAGGCCCTGGCAGGGCGGGCGTGATTGCCATGGGGCTGGGGCTAGGGCCACGCCGGCGCCAGCATCGGCTGACCCAGCGGTTCTAGAAGGATAGTCATAACCGGGCGTGGTGGCTCGCGTCTGCAATCCCAGCATTCTGGGAGCCGAGGCGGGAGGATCGCTTGAGGCCAGGAGTTTGAGACCCACCTGGGCGACATAGCAAGACCTCGATGCCACAGAAAATAAAAATAAAAAGTGAACAAAATGCTAATCATGACATAAAAGCCACCCAACAGCGAGCATCGGTGTCACCTGTGAGCCAGAAATCGTGTGCGGCAGAGGCGCTAGACTGGCTCGCAGCGTTTCACAGACGGGGCGATTTCTTTCCCATCGCAAGAAACCCGGAGGGGTGGTGAGTGACTCTGTGACCTTGCCAGTGGCCGGCAGTTCCTTCTGGGATCCAGGGGCCATCGTTTGGGGGTGGCTCCCCACCACCTTGGATGCAGACCTCTCGGTGGCAAAATGACTGCCGCACCTCCAGGCGCCATGCCTACCTTCCAAGGCAGGAAACTGGAAGAAATGCACCAGGCCGTGCCCGCTGGGTCTGTGGCCTGTTCCGCTGGATGAGAAAAACCTCCCAGAGTGCTTCTCGCAAGACTCCTCACCACTCGTTGGCTACGAGGGGCCCGGGCCACGCTGGGGAAAGTCGGGTTTCTACAGCCTCTGTGGTTGAGGGAAGCAGTGGCGAAGGGGGTGAGCACGGGTGTCGGGGGCCTCACTGAGCTGAGCCCTTGGCCTGCTTCGCCCCCTCTGAGCCCCCAGGTGTCCTGGAAACGGAGCCAGGACAGCCCCTCCCGTCGAGTGGGGGACAGTCGAGCCATGGTGTGCGAGCAGCCGGCCGCAGAGCGGTGCCCTTCCTCCCCCTGCCACCCGGGGGCAGGAGCTGCTCAGACGCGGGCGGGAGAGCTGCCCACGTGTTTGGACGCCTGCGCCACTTGCCCCTTTGATGTCGGCGCTTTCACGTCCTCCGCGGGGTCCTCAGCCGGCCTGGGGCCAGACCTGGGGCCCGGGGGGAGGGGGGCTCAGCCTGGAGGGCCCCGGACAGACGGGGACACTGGCCACCTCGGCGGGTCGGGTCCACCCGGGGGTGTGG